GAAATTGGGGAAAAACCAGTTTGATATATCCATGAGAAAACCAAGTAAATGGTTCAGCCAGATGGCATTGGGGTTTTCTTGATTAGTTCGATAGCCACAGATGTTCTTGATAATTTAACAAATTTCAATTTATAGTACCCACTTAAAGCTTACATTTTAATATTTTATTTTCCCTTAGTTCTTCTTTTTTTTTTTGTAGGTTTTTTTTGTTTGGCATTGTTTTGACAACTTTATGGGGAGGGAAAACCATTTAATATATGGCACCGAGCCTGGCCGCAACTCACTTTTTAATCACTTTTCATGAGCTTTTAATTACACACTCCTTGTTTGGGGTTTGTGTCGGAATGAAATTTATGAAAAACCAAACGCATAAAATGCTTAACAAGCTCCTGGGGCTGCCCAACCGCAGGACATACACACACGTACACATGGAAAAAGGAGTGTGTGTGTGTGTGTGTATAAATAAAATAAAAATATCCCCACTCATTTCCGTTATAATAATGTGTGAAAGGATATTAATTATGAAACAAGCGAACGGCAGGAAGCTCGGGCAATAAAAACAGCAAGCGACAGGAACACCATGCGTGACCAACAATAACAACTACAGGAACATCACAAGCGACAACAAAAACAAGAACAATATTATATATATATATATTTATATATGTTTGTATACAGGGCGGTCCTCGTATATTGTATTTTATGTTGGTTAATGCACTGAGAAAAGTCTCGGGAATTTATTATATTTTTTTAATGGGTAAACAAGTTGATTTCGTGATTTTAAAGTAGAGTTTTGCTTTTGTTACTTTCTTTAATCAGGTTAAATTTTCAAAATAATTAATATATTTATTATATAAATTTAAATTTCTCCTTTAACCTTAAATATATAAATTATTTTATTAAATTTATATTAATTTAAATATTTATTTATGTGTTTATTAATGGGTAAACAACTTGATTTCATGTGTTTTGTATTCTTGCTTTCAGGCTAAATTTTTATATTAATTTATATATTTTTTATATAATTTTAAATCCTTTTTTAACCTAGTTTTTTTAAATATTATTAAATCTTTATTAATTTACAAACAAAACCACTTTCTTTAAATATTTATTTATGTGTTTATTAAGATTGCTTCTATTCTAATTCTTCTTCTAATTTCTATAAATTTTTTTAAATATGAAATATTTTTTAAGGCCACAGATTTCATAAAAAATATTTAATATTTTAAATAATGTAGTGTTTTTATTTTTATTATTTTATTTATTAGCTATTAAATTTTTGGTAATCCTATTTTAAGGCAACAGATTTTATATTAATTATTAAATATATTTTATTTATTAATTATTTAATATTTTATATTTTCTTTCCCATTTTTTCTCCCAGTGATTTGGAGGTGGGCTAGATGAGGTGAGTTTGTGCCCAGCGGAAACGGGAGCAACATGTGCAACATGTCGAACGGAAGTGTCGGCCATATTCCGCACACATCGCACACACACACATACACACACATAGAACCGCCTAAATAGGCCCACGTCGCACACACACAAATTATGTGTCCTGGCCAAGTAGATTTTTATGTAATGTCGGTCGGTTATTGCTTTCATACATTTATTTTATTTCATTTACCCAAACCACCACAACCCGTAGAAACACCCACAAAGCCAGGCGAATATTATAGTATATTTCAAAAAGCCTTGATTTAAATACTCTTATTAAATAAAAATATATAAAATATTTAAGAAAATTATAAATTAAAGAGATTCTTTTTCTTGGGAACTATTATTTAATGTTTAATAAATAAATTCAAATTTAATGAAATATAAAATATTTTCCTAATATAATTTACTCACTTTTAAATACAATTAAATATTACTTTAACCTCTCCTTCTTCTTAAGTTTATACTTCTCCCCAAAAAGTAGATCTCTTTGTCGTCGTTTATGTTATTACATGAACATTTTTTGCCTTGCACTTCGTGTCCTGTCATCGGAGTCAGTCACCCAGCCTGCCACTGCCACTGACAGGGACCCATTGCGGCGGCAACTGTCGTCCATCAGAGCCGTGCGTCAGTTGATCACGTTGCTGCTCCACGTGACGATGACAGGGATGCCGGGAATGCCAAAGCGCCAGACGGAGCAGGAGGAGGAATCTCTCTCTCTTCCCAGTCATAGTCATTCGCCCACGGGCATGTTCTGCGGCTCCTGCGTGTAATTGCCGTTGTAATGTCGCTCGACGCGAATATAATTGCTAAAATGTTGCATAAACCGACAGACGTGCCAATGGCCAATGGCCAGGACTCTGACTCTGACTCCCAGCTAGGACTCCAGGTCGCGGCGACGACACTTTTCCATTTGAATTTAATTTTAATTTACGCCCAACGGCCAACGCCATCGTTGCTGCTGCCGCTGCTGCTGCTGCCGCTGCTGCTGCTGCTGATGCCCATTGCCATTTTCCGGAAATTGGCAACGGCAATGGCCAGAACATTCCGCATTCCGGACGTGGCTCCTGGCTTCTGGCCTGGGACTTGAATGAAAACACAGAGAAAAATTAAAGGGAATTGAAGAAAAAGATCGAGAAGTAAAGGAATACATTTTTAACTAAGAAATTCTTTATAATTTATATATATTTTGTATATTTTTTTGTATATACACACCTTGTTTATATGTTATTAAATTTTCTAATTTTTTCTCTCTGTGTAAAAACAAAGCCTGACAGTGGCAATGCGGCTCTGGCCACGATTCTGACCAAATTCGAGAGGGCTGTCCGCACCGTTGAGTTAATGAGAAGAGACAGAGGTCGAGTGTTGAAACGAGAGCTGGGGGAGCTGGGAAATGGAAAATGCTAGATTGGGGGAGGGGGGTTGGTTAGGAGAAAAAAGAAAACCCATCGACAGACATTTTATGTGCAACTGGCCAAATTGTTAGAGGAACTGCCAGAGTCTAATTGAAGCGACCCCAAGCAATTAGTCGATAAATTGAAGCAACAAAAAGGACAAAATGCGGAAATATATATATAAATTTAGCTATTATATAGGATAAGAAATAGCTAAGGAATAAAAATAATTAATACTTATATACAAAGTTTTATTGAATATTTATACCCTTGCAGGGTATTATAATTTCAGTCAGAAGTTTGCAACGCAGTGAAGGAGACCTTTCCGACCCTATAAAGTATATATATTATTGATCAGCATCAACAGCCGAGTCGATCTAACCATGTCCGTCTGTCCGTCTGTCCGTCTGTCCGTCCGTCTGTCCGTCTGTCCGTCCGTCCGTCTGTCCGTTTCTACGCAAACTAGTCCCTCAGTTTTAAAGCTATCTGAATGAAACTTTGCATATAGTCTACTATATACTCTCACTGCTATATATGTCGGAACGGGCCGGATCGGACGACTATATCATATAGCTGCCATACAAATGTTCGATAAATTTTTAGAAAAAAAATTATAACTTTGCTGTTTTTCAACATTTTTGCACCATTTTTTAGATATTGCCATTCTATATTATTCCAGAATTTTGGTAAAAATTTTATGAAAATCGGACGAATATATGATATAGCTGCCATAGGAACAGTCGAGAAATTAATAGAAAATAATTATAACTTCGTTGTTTTTCAACCTATTTTTATCTTCTATGAGATGTAAGCTAATTTTATTAGTTCAAAATTTTGGTATAAATTTCATGAAAATCGGACAACTATATCATATAGCTGCCATATAAACCGATCGGCAGAAGTAGAGAAAATGTAAAACTGGGAATGTAAAGCTGTAACTGTCAAACTCTCAACATAATAAGTATAGGTAAAATTTAATGAAATAATATCTGCAAGGGTATACAAACTTCGGCGTGCCGAATTTAGCTTCCTTTCTTGTTTTAAGAAGATTTTAGAGGGATACCTAAGGTCTTTGAGTAAAAAATCTAAATAAATTTATAGAAGATAAATTTCTACAATAAAAACAATTAAACTTACAACCTAATTAACCATATATTTTATGACTTAATTAGTTTTAAATTCAAAATAAATATTCCCCAAGAATTTCCTTAGTTTAACCATCAATTTAATTCACACTTTCTCAAGAACCTTTTTATAACTCCAAACAAATCTCAGCTAATCAAAAACTTTTCCCCTATTAATACCAACCCACCTATTTACAATCTCTGAATTTTCCATAATTTTCCTAAATCAATGCGCTTTGTTGTTTTTCTTGAAAGCCAAAGTGTCTAAGCCTATGAGTAATTTTCCGCTGGCAAAAAAATCGTGCTTCAAAGGGGCCGGACTCATTAACTGCAAAGTGAATTAACACAGAAATAAAATAATAAAGATAATGCATGGTGGATAGAAAAAGAAGAACTGGAAATCCAACAACGATTTGATGAAAACAATTTTCCAAATTTGGCAAAACTGTTAACCACGCTACGTTAATTTCATTAGCAAGTCTGTCTTTCTTGTTTCGGTGACCGTGTTTCATCCAAACACATCAAGTGTCTCTATATACATATATACTATACAGATATATATATATATGCTGGCCATTAAATGCGCTAATTAGTTGGTCAATTAGCGTATGCTTACCGGATTGTTTTTGGCTCTTTGTTTTTTGGAGGAGTTCAAAGGGAACGAGGGGAGGGGCCGAAATCGGAGTCACCATCATCATCATCATCAGCGTCGTCGACGGACGTCAGCGGTTCGATCGACCGCCCAACTGTCGCCACATTAATAAATCAGTTTAAATTAATTCAGTTGACAGCTTTTAGTCAATATTGTTGATAAATTGTTTTCTCTTAATTTTGGTTTTTGGGTTTTTTTTTTTGGGCCTGAAAACCTGCAGCTGTTGCCAAGGGGCTAGGCGTCGAAGCTTTGACTGCTCATTAACAACATTTCAAAATCTTTAATTAGCTACAGTTTGGGGCTATACTACTCCTGAAAACTTGCTGCAGATTGGTTAAATGTTTAAATATAAAATTAGATAATTAACTTAAAAATTAAAGACACTAAAGTATCTATAGATACTTCAAATAGTTCATTTAATTTTAATTAAAATTTTGGAAACAAACATCAACTACAATTGCTCGCTCTTTCTGGCCTCGTTGAGTATATCAGTCCAGGACACGCTGTAGATATCCTCCTGATCATCATCCATCTGCGAGCTCTGCTCTCTCTCCGACTGAGCATTCTCGAACTCGGCCAGTTTTTGTAAACGAATATCCATGCGACGTTCGAGTTCGTCTATAGTGCTGGGCTTTCGGCGAATGGGTATTTCCATGTTATAGATAGATGACTCACTGCCCATTGCCCGAGGGGATTCTACTGGACTGGATGGAGGTTCTTCTGCGTTAAGGTCACTCACACTGGCTGCATAATGGGCAGAAGTAGAATCGTAATCACTGATTGATAAAGGAGTAAAAGGGGCATCCCCAGCTCCAGCAGATGCTCCTCCATAAACTCCTGCAACTCCTCCGACTCTCTCGAATCCTAGTTCTCCATAAAGTCCTCCATATACACCTCCTCCTCCTCCCCTTTCTCCTGGCTTCATTCCACCACTGGGAATCTTCTCCGGATCTGGACACAATTTGATTGAAAGCAAGCGTCCACGACACTTGAGCTTCTCCAGTTGGAGCAGACGGATCAACTCCTCCCGAGAGTTCATTTCCAGGTAAGCAAATGCCTTGGGACGCTTACCCTTCCTGGGAACAGTCAAAGTACGAATCGAAAAATTGGAAAACACTTGGCTCAGCTCCCGTTCATAGCACTCCATGGGCAGATTGCTCACCAAGGCCACAAATGGCGGTTTCAGGGGCACCTCAGCCTCCAGATCTGGAGTCTTGACCTCCATTGATAGTTCAGACTGGGATTTTTCTCCTCCACCTGGGTAGTAATAGAAATCACCTTCATCCGCACAGCTGGTGTGCACCTGAGTGACATGCAACATGGCCTCCAGGCCTTGATTCGGTTTTCCGCCGGAAATTGAAGATGCGGACGGTGAGCTTGGAAAAGGCAGCTTTGGCCTGGAACCCCGTGCTGACTTGGACATCTTGTCAAAGTCAGGGGTCAACGGAAACAAGAAAATATATAATTTATTTCAGAAATAGTGCTTATACCCGTGTCTGCTTTTTGGTTGATTTGGATGGGGAAAACTGTTTAGGGGGTTTTTTGAAGTAAGGAACTAAGGTAAGTGGTATTTGCAGGGTATTAAATTTTAGTCAGAAGCTTGCAAAGCAGTGAAGGAGCCATTTCCGAACCTATAAATCATATATATTATTGATCAGCATCAACAGGGGAATCTTTCTAATCATGTTGGGAAGGAAAAATTTTTTTTTAATTTTTTTCAAAAAATTTATAAGGGGTTACATCATTAAAATTCTCAAAAATGGACATAATTTTTGATTTTTTTAAATTTTTAAGTTTAGTATGCAGTTGTTTTAGCCTAATAAAATCTAATAAAGTGCCGCTTTCCGAATTAAAATTAATGCATTTTTGGCTTAATTATGATACATTTTTGATTCGATGTTATGATCTGGTGTCAAACTGCAGGGTATACAAATTTCGGCTTCCCGAAGATATTTTCCTTTTTTTTCTTATAATTTGAAACTTAAAATGTTTGAGGGAAAATATAAATAATTTTTTAAACTAATAATACCTCTGAATTTTTACTATATATAATTTAAACTATTTAAAAGTCTAGACTTTGTTTGCCAGTTTAATTTAGTGTTTTTTTCTTTTGTTAAAATTAACTTAGTATCAATGACAAAAATAGACAAAATTAACAGTTTATTTTTAAACTAACATATTACGAACAAAACTTATAAACTGGTTTATAGACTTCTTTTTGGGCTTGCTAATTTTTTTAGTTAACAAAAAAAGACAGACAACAAACAAAATAATTAATAATGAAAGAGAATTCAAATTTGTAAAGTAAACATGGGGAAATATACTTCGAGGTTACTTATTAAATACTTTAAAAATATTTAAAGGGACTTATATTAATTGATATATATTTTATTATAATGATATTTATTTCTTTATGCTTAAATATATATTTATTATAATTTACTTTACATTTTATTTTCCTTTTAATTCAAACTACTGAATGCTTCAGCCAAAAATTGAACATTTTTATATCGAAGGATAAAAACTTGTTAAGTAAAAATTATATTATTTTATACTAAAGAAGCACACAAATTTTGTAAGTAAATATTTAAAAATCTACCAAGTCTTAGAGGTTACTTACCAAAGTCTATAGAACTTTTTAAGAATCATTTTAGTATATATTTTATAAATAATAAATGGTTACTTTCAATTTAATAAATATTTATTTTATTTTAATTAATCCTAAATTCAATGTATAATTCCAAAGACCATCATTTTTCAACCTCTCTATGTTCTTAGCTCGTCTTGGGTCTCTGCAAAAATATTCCCAGGCCAAGATCTCGTTTAAGCACACACTCCTTTCAGTCCGGCCAGCACCTGCCACCAAGTCGCTCCTCTGCAGAGGGAAATGCCAAGGTTCGCGGTGCTGATCGGGCCAAAAACAACACTCCAAGATGGCTGGAAAATATCAAAAGTTCAGCAAACAAATGGCAGGGAGTTGAGTTCCAGTTGGAGTTTGGCTAATGCACGGATTGTGTCGTTTCTGTTTGCTGTTTTTTCTATTTTTTTTGTTTTTTGTTAGTTTTGTTTGCTACGAGGGGCCTCCACATTAGGCAACTTGGAAACGGGCTACACCCATATTCCGTGGAAAATTGGGTGCGTTGGCCAAACACAAACTAAGGTAAACTGATAAAAATCATGGCCTGCAGCATGAGTGCGCATGGAGTACGACGAGTTGGAGTTTTGAGCCGAAGTAACCAAAAGAGTGGCCACACACACACTCGGAGTGTGTACGTGTCTGCCTTTTGGCCCAAAAGACAGGCTAAAATATTAGGCCAATTATATTTCAAAAATTTACATGACGATGATGTTGACGATGGCTGGGTCATCCATAAGCTGTAAAAAAACAGGGAGGAGATGCACTGAAAAGAATAGCTAACATTTTTCATTTTAAAAAACATTTAATATAAGGTCTTAAAATATATAGAAAAATTATTATAAAAATATTTATCTTAAGTTAATAAACTTTATATTTATTTAAATTTTTATTAACATTATTTTTTCGTCCAGTGCCTGTACAGTGTGCCCACGAAGGAAGCGTCAAGTGGTCTCTATGTATCTTGTATCTTGATGCGCGTGCACGGTCTTAAGTCTGCTGGGGAGACTCTCTCTTGTATCTTCCATCTAGGATCGAAATTTTCTTCTTCCTCTTTATAATTTCGTAGAAAAAAAAACTTTGAATGAACTCGGTGGGCTAAAGGTGCAGCAAAGGTAATTAATTTCGAGGATTAGGCATCTGATTTTCGGCCCGATGTCTCGTCTCCCCTGCCATTATTCTCATATCGAGGGGCTAGACGAACACGTTTCAGGTATCTTATCTGATGTCTCTGGTTTACACTCTGCTTCTAGTTTTTGGGTCAACAGAGTCCGACACTTGGAGATTCCATAATTGGATATCATGGGTATATATAGCTCCATTAAGTGTAAACAAGTCGAGTTTTGAGGTGTGGTTATGGCTTATGGGAAGTGTGTATAAATATGAAAAAAATAGAAAAAAATAAATAAAAAATATAATAAACAAAATAAATATAATAAATATAATAAAAACAAAAAATTATATATTTTAGTAAGATATATTTTAAAGCAGAATATATTTAGAAAATCTTTAAAAATATAAAGCCATAAGAAAAGGCTGGTAAAGGTACTGATTTCTTGTAGGAAATTATTTAAACTTCAAGAAATTAACTTAAAACCAATAAAATATTTATTAAGAAATCTTTAAATAATATAATTTCAATAAATATTTTTGAGATAGCTTAAAATTAAAGCAGAATATATTTAGAAAATCTTTAAAAATGCAAAACCATAAGAAAAGCCTGTAAAAGGTTTTAATTTTAATAATTTATTTTAATTTTAAAAATTTAATAATTATATTAAATATAGATTACAAGCCTTTACATATTATAATTTTAATTTATAAAATATTTCTTAAAAAGAACAAGAGCCCTTTTAGCAGATTTTATATAAACTCAAAGCTTTACAAATTCAAACCCCTATCACAATCAAACCAAATTTAGCCCTAATACAAAAATTAAACAAAAGAGTTTCCACATTATTTTCGGTAATTGCTAACCATTCAAGTTAATGGGAAATATTAAAACAAACAAACAAACCACTAATTATAATACCTAATCAGCGCTTTCTTTCGCCTCTATTTATTTATTTTGAGGGGCAGCAGACTTCCCCCCAAACCGTAAACCGAAAACCAAAAGCCAAATCCAAAAACCAAACACACACAGGAGGAGTAGTGTTCCACATGACAGCGTGAATAATTTGTCACCAATTGACGAGGGGGAGGGAGGGAGACTAGAAAAAGGGGGTGGTGGTGGCTTTGGCCGTATGAAAACCGTCATCAGGTAAATGCAATTAGCCCCCCGACTTGGTTCTTTGATTGATGTATTTCGAATGAGCTGCGCCAGGAAAATTAATTAGCTTTAAATTATGTAGGTAGCCGAGAAGCCAGAGCACACCCAAAAACCGTTCTCAATCAGTTGAAGCCACCTTATTAATTAATCAGAGTGTCTCTCGGATAAAGCAATTATTAAATAGCAAAAAAGCCACAAAGAACAATGCAAATAAAACCAGTTAAGGATTAGATTTCAATGAAATGAAATCTCTACTTAATTTAATCATGTATTAAGACCTCGATTTGATTTTCCAACTGACTGAGCTTCAAGGAAAATGCAAATCCAACTTGGTTTTCCTAAAGCCAACCCCCATTTCATAATCTTTATGGCCATCATCACATCATAGATGACTTCTCCCGGTATTATTCACATCTGGGAAATACAAAATGGGAAATGGGAAATCAGGAGAGCTGAACCAATGAGTTTTCCCCCCGAAAAATTGACAAATGCTCGGCTTGAGCAGGCTTGAAATGTGGAAATTTATCAATTCCACAGATATATATATATAGTATATATATATATAATGACTTTGGCTATGGTTATCAATAACCAGGCATCGATATTTTATGAAAATTGATACGCCAACCACCCCGTGGAGTGTGCGGGGGTGGGGAAAATAAAAATAAATAATAATGGCCATTATTACAGTTTATCCCATGCCGAATATAGTTTGGCCAGCGTCCTGTGAGTCCTTTCGGATGCCACGATGCCACTCATAAGCGAACTAATCCGTCAAAATTTATTGCCAGCTACGCCGAGGGGAGCCACTCCACTCCACTCCACTGTCTAGCCAATTGATAACGTGCGTGTGAAATTTATCAAATAAATTGAGGCCATAAATGTCAAAGCTGCGCATGATTCATAGACAGACAGCCAAGGGAATCTCCCTTATTAGCCAGAGAGTTCAGCTTCCGTTTTTGGCCAAGGAGTCAAGGAGTTTTCTTTTTTCGGGTCCAGTCAGAAGTCAATCCCACATTGGGATTAGCTGACAAATTTTGTGTAATTTCCAAGTAGAGCGAATTATCCGAGGTCATATTTATTCGAATCACATTAGGGGTAAGCTGTATTCTAAGATGGTGATGAATAAATCGAATAAATGATATCATATTTCTTAACAATTACTTGTGTTTAATCATTAATTTCAAGATTTAATTCGGTTTGAAAGGCCAATTTAAAAAGTACATTTAATTATTAAACAAGTTTTGGGAGTTTTATTTCTTTGTTAGGTGGGCTTTTAGTTAGTTTTGGGTTTATACAAATAAATACAAATATTTTAAATATATTTAGAGCCTTAAATTTATTCATTTTAAATTTTTACTAAATAATAGACTCCATTTTCTTGGTTACTAAAATTATTTAACTTGAGATTTTCATGTTTAAGCTAACCTTAACTTCTCTTGATTTATTCTTTTCTTGATAAATTGAAAATAAATATTTTTAGGTTGTAAGTCTTGAAGTAAATATATTTTTTAAAAATTTTAAATACCTAATTTGAATTTATTAAAAATTTTAAATCAATAAAACTAATTTTCATGGTTACTAAAATCATCTAACTTTATATTTACACATTTAAGCTTACTTTTACTTATCTTTTCCTTTCCTTTCCTT